GGTGGGAGACTTTTAATTAATGTAAATTAAACATTTCTGGTGCTCAATCTGGGTTACACTAACAGGATTTTTTCCCAATAAATGCAAATCTTAAGAGTAAACCTAGTAGGTATAAAAATAGTTAAGAGAGTAGCAGAGAAGTTGTTGCTATGGCAACGCAGAGGCATTTATTGGGATATCAGGGCCCAGGTAACAAATATGATATATCAGTTGGGTGACTGAGGGGATGGGAGCAGTTCTAGAGCAGCTGATGTGTTTCCCTGAGAGTACTGAGAGACATCTTAGCAGCCCCATCCCCTTGGGCTTGCCTCTGCCATGTCTGATGCACAGTTAAGATCCTGTCCAATTAGCTAAATCCTTGCTCCTCCACTGCACTTGCTGCAAATGGCCTTTCTGGCCCAGGGCAACTGGAGCGGTTCGAGAGCATGGCAGGAACTGGCCGTGAGCCCTCCAGGCCTTCCAGTGTGCAACCTTCTCCTGTGCCTCTGCCTTGTTGCCTGTCTTGCAGGATTTGCTGGGTGACTGGGCAACAAAGATCAGGAGATGTAGAGTTATGTGAGTGTGTGTGAGCATACATACGTGCGCACACAAGTAGTCGGTGATTTTGGCCGGCTACCTTTGCCATAAGATATTCTTCAGGTCTCTTCTGTGTTCTCCTTCCAAATTGACACAGCTTTAAAAACCTGGTTGTCACCCTTCCCCAACATCTTCACTGTCCGAAAGCAACTCTACCCTGCTGTCAAACATACATTGATAATACCCTTCCACCTGCTTGAAGGCATCCATCCCCCTGCATTTTTTTATTCTAAGAATCCTTTCCTCAGCCACTCTGAAAGAACTCAAGACACCTTACTTTTACCTCCTTCATTTTCATACCACTCCAAAATACCAAAACCACTTTGAAGTGACAACAAGAACAAGAACATTGAATGACAGATCCTCTACTCCTCCCATTCCTGGACAGCTCAGAGGTTCTGGCTCAGAGGTTTTATTGGGGATGTGTGTGACTATTTTCCCTTGTGGGCTTCCCTACCAGCAACCTTATTGTCCTTGCCAACTCACAGCGAGACCCATCTGCCTCCCAGGACATGATGCACCTTGGGTATTTGAGATGTTCTTTCTACTGTACATGCAAGAATATGGGTAAGAATCACCTTCTTCTCACAAAGAGTAAGCAACATCAGGTAATTTTAGACATGTCCTGCTCTGACTAAAAAGAGAAAGAATTAAGAAGGCAGCGTATATTTAAGCAAGCACCCTTCTTATTCAGTTTACTTCTGCACAGAGGATCAGGCAGAGTAAATAAAGTCAGTTCTAGAGATAAATCAAAATAAAATATTCCAGGGTTTCTAAATCACCTAAATCCCAGCACAACTGCTAACCTTCTCGCTGCACTCCACCACCGCACAGAAGAAACAAGAACAATAATTTTTAATCTAATGTGCCTCTAACTGCCAAAATAGGCCCTTCGTTGCTAGCATATGAGTCATTTTGGAAGGACAAACGTAATCCACAGCCAAGATGGGCTACTCTAGATAATAATAGCTAAATCAGGTGTATGTGTTTTCAGCAGAACACAAAGGGTCTTTTTACCACATCTGAGGCGCAGCAGATGGAAACATAAAGGAGAAAAGTGAGAAGAGGGCAAATTCAAAAGAGAAATGTCAAAATCTCTATCTTCAGAGAGCCTTATCACTGTCCATTGGTCTGAACTGGACCCTTTGATACATTAGACGGGATTATGAGATGCATTTTAGAGAGAACACTAAGTATCTGCACAGTGCTGGCCCAGTTTGCCAGGAAATGGGCATTGCCTTAGATGAATTGATAATGCACCTTAAAATGCACCACAAATTGGAGGGTTTGACAGCCCCTTGGGCAAAACATTGCCTCACTGGAGTCCCATGGACCGGTGGTTAAAATGCTGCACTGCAGTCAAGCTTCTGCTCATGACTTGAATTTGATCTTGACGGATTCAGGTAGCCGGCTCCCTGAGGGGGACAATTATCTTATAAACTGCCCAGGGAGTGCTTTGGCACTATATAGAAGTATATATGTCAAAACAACAACTAATATAGAGAAGGTGGAGTGAGAGAAATGAGAAAAATTTATGCTATCTTGGATCTTGATTAGTTCTCCAAGCGAGTGGATAGACCACTGGGTTTGACATGAGTCAATTTGCTTTATTTGGGTCTCCCAAAGTGCTTAAATTGGAGGGGAGGAGGCAGAGAGTCTTTATTTCTCCAGCCTTTGCAGGACCCTCTGAGCTACCATTTTACAAATGTTAGATAATAAGATTTTGCTAAAAGTCATAGTAAACAGGGAATGGGGTCCAGGGATTCATTAAGAGCCTCTCTTCCTCCCCCTGCATAACTGCATTCCTTAAGCATCAAGGTCCCAGCAAAATGCTTAATCTTACCAGTCTCTGAGGATGTATTCAATACTCCCCATACACACTGCAGGAAATAAGGGGTAATAGTGGATAAGCTTGTTCACCATTATGGCATTTTTTATTTAAATGCCCGTCCCACTCTGACAAGATTCTAAGAAGTCCTCAAGTTTGTGGAAACAGAGTTTGAAAACTATTGCACTAAGTCTGACTGATAACAACTCAACATTTAAATCCTCATGTTGGCCTCTATTTCTGTTTTACCACTGGGAAAACCAAGGCTGAAACTTTCCTCATATCTAATATCTGATGGAGTATGCTGTCCTACAGTAACACCAGAATGGAACTCCAGCTGATTAACATAGGTTTCAGTGTGGCATCCAGTCTGAGGATTTTGAGACAGATCAAAAATGAGCTAGATCTAGTTGTGGTATGTTTACAATAATCCTTGGTTTCTTATCTGCCTCTTTTAAAATTATTTTTTATTTAAAGTATTTTTACCCCGCCTTTCTCATTAAAAAAAGGACCCAAGGCGGCTTACGTGATTAAAAACACAATATTAAAAACTAAAAACAGTAAATTATTCAACTACAGTGGTGCCTCGCTTAACGAGTGCTTCGTTTAATGACGAATTCGCTTAGCGATGGCTTTTTCTGAGTGATCTTGCGCTCCGTTTAACGATGTTCCCTATGGGCGATTTTCGCATAGCAATGTTTGGGACCATGCTTTCCATAGCGATGACAATTTGGGTCCCCCTGTTTCGCTTAACAATGGTTTTGACAGCCTCCTGTTGGCTGTTTTTTATACGTTTAAAAATGTTTTAAAATGTTTAGAATGCTTGAAATCATAAGTGCACGTAATAAACCCTTTGTTAAACTTATTTGACTTTGTTCTGACTCTTTTTCAATTTGTTGTAATTTTTTTCCCCATTGAGATGCATTGAATAGGTTTCAATGCATTTCAATTGGGGAACCGCATTTCGCTTAGTGATGTTTCCTATGGTGATTTTCGCTTAAGGACAGCAATCCGTTCCCATTGGAACGGATTATCTGGTTTTCAATGCATTTCTATGGGAATTCATTGTGAATGTCATTGTATGTGTATATACTTACAACGACAATAAATTATTATTATTATTAAACCGTGTTTCGCTTAGCGATGTTTTCCCATAGCGATGAATTTTTGGAATCAATTAACATCGCTAAGCGAGGCACCACTGTATTTAAAAAGAATTAATATTATATTAAGAATATTAGGTAAAAGCATTACTAAAATAGATTTAGATGCAACAAAATACAAATCATCCCATTCAAAAAAACTCACATAGACAGTGAGTCATTAAGGAAAACACTGCTTGAAGGGAAAGGTCTTCGCCTGCTTGTGGAAGGACAGCAAAGGTTTTCAGAGACTGGGAGCTCCAACAGAAAAGGGCCTTTCCAAGTGCATCTGTGACCAAGAGAAAGGCCTCCCCAGATGATCCCAGCACCCAGGCAGGCTCATAAATGGACATACTGTATGCCCATGGAATAGTTTGGACCAAAGCTGTTTATGGCTTTATACGTAAAAACCAGCACTTTCAATCGTGCCTTGAACCAGATCGGATGCTGCTGTAACAGGAGAGTCATGTGATCCCTGTAACCAGCTATTTTGGGTCTGCTGAAGTTTCCCAGCACTTTCCAAAAAACAGTCAGATAACTGCAGGTTCTCAGTTAAGCTTCTGTGGGTCAAAACAGTCAAACATAAAAGAAGAATAAGAAAACTCTACCTCAGAGGCTTGTTGTAAAAGGAAAACGTAATACTGTAGTTGTCTCTCTTTTTTAAATCAAAAGGGTGATATAATAAGCAGCATTATTAGCTTCAGTAAAGATGATTTGTTTGTGTTATTTATAAATACATATTAATGTCACATCTAATGTATACTAACAGTAAATCAAAATTCTGCTGAGAAAGTAACAGAAAGGGAATGCCTTCACATCCTGCATGTTGGCTTTATAGAGGCATCTGTCTGCAAAAGAGGGTTGCAATATGAGACAAGCCTTTGGTCTGATCTAGTCAGACTCCCATTATGTGCTTATTGTGAAAAAATGTTACAGCTACTGATTTTCCTCAGAAATACATAGATATCATGGACAGTGATCAGAGACGATGAGAGCTATTATCCAACAACATATGGTGATCGAAGGTTGGGAATGGCCAGAGTACTATATATAAAACGAAGGGCAATGGAGAGATTCTATAGAAATGCTCATCATTCCTTGTGAACTGAGAGTACGTTTTTATATATCCTCAAAAATCCCCTTCAGTATGCATGAATTCTGTAGCAGGCCCCAGCCACCAGTTCCTCAGCAACCAAGTTTAAGGCTGAAAAAGTCACTTTTTTGGAACTACATTTCCCAGAATTCCCCAGTGGCAATGCTAATTGTCAAATTCTGGAAGCTGTAATCAGAAAGTAACTTTTCCAGGGTCTGGATCAGTCAAAGTGGAATTGGTTCCTTGGATGACCGAAGGTTTTTTTTTTTGGGGGGGGGGAACCCAACCCAACAAATTATGAGGCTTAATGTAAGTAGGACTGCATTCTTAGCCATTTCTAGCTACAGGGAGTCCCTCTTACCTGCCCTGTTGATCTCAATGATTTCCTCTTGAGCAAGGGGGCAGGAATCACTCTGGTTGCTGCGGTGCAGAGATTGCATGTCCGGTTTGCAGTAATTGGGCGACCCAGGCTGGGGGGCTCGCGGGATGTGCTTGTTCTTCTTCTTTGGTAGTTTCTGCTTGGCCATAGCCAGGGAATAATACATGCCAAAGTTGTTGACAATGACTGGCACAGGCATGGCAATGGTCAACACACCGGCCAAGGCGCACAAGGCTCCTACCAACATGCCTGACCATGTCTGAGGGTACATGTCACCATAGCCCAAAGTCGTCATGGTCACTACTGCCCACCAGAATCCAATGGGGATGTTCTTGAAGAACGTGTGCTTGCTGCCTGTGATGTCATCTGGGTCAGCTCCGATTCTCTCAGCATAATAGATCATGGTAGCAAAGATCAAGACCCCCAGGGCCAAGAAGATGATGAGAAGCAAGAACTCATTGGTACTGGCCCTTAAAGTATGGCCTAGGACTCTCAGCCCTACAAAATGGCGGGTGAGCTTGAAGATCCTTAGGATCCGGACAAACCTGACCACCCTCAAGAAGCCCAGCACATCCTTGGCTGCTTTGGATGAGAGGCCACTGAGGCCCACCTCCAGGTAGAAGGGCAGGATGGCCACAAAGTCAATAATGTTGAGGCTGCTCTTGATGAATTCCATCTTGTCTGGACAAAAGATAACACGAATGAGGAACTCAAAGGTGAACCAGATTACGCAGATCCCTTCCACATAGGTGAGGGCAGGCTTTGTCTCTATCTCAATGGGCTCCGTTGAGTTGGTATTGTTTTTGATATCATTGAAAGCCTCATGGGTCTCCAAGCAGAAGGTAGTGATGGACATGAGGATGAAGAAGAGTGAGGCAAAGGCGACATACTGGAGAAAGGCAATCGAGGGCAGATACACAGGGAGGAAATTGTCAGAAAGGAACACACGGGATGGGGGGAAGTGGGTACACAACAGGGAAGGGTAAAAAGAAAAGTGTTAGTCCTCATTTTTCTTTATAAAAGACCAAACTCTTCTAGAGAAGGAACATCTTTTGAACAATAGCCTTCCTCAACCTATCACTCTCTAATTATATCAGACAACTTCTATTATCATTCAGTGGTCATGCTGGTTGGGAATGATGGGAGTTATTGTCTGGCGTATCCAAAGGACATCGATATAGGGCAAGGCCATTGTATACCATACATCATCAATCTTCTTTCTTACATCAGAGATTAACACAGACTGCCCCAGACATATGACCAATATCCCATCCCCCCCCACCCCGGCCCTTAATACATCCCAATTAATGAGAAGAAGAGTAAGCAAAATTAATGCTGGAAGTGATACAGAAGGGTGTACCCTATAAAGAGATTATTCATTTTTAAAAGTGCCTCATTGCTGAGACCTGAGCATCCAGGTTCAAGGATGAATCCAAGAGTATACCCAAACTTCAAACCTGAGTATTTGAGGAGGGGGTAACGCCATCTAGCACAAATTGAATCCTATTTCCTAATCTACTTTTTGACTTACCAGGAGCATCCATGTCTTGCTTGGACTAAGCTTCAGCTATATAGCTCAGTATGATAGTATGCCTGCCTGAGATGCTGGGACAAAGTGAAAATCCCTGCTTCACCATGAAACTCACTGGGTAACTTTAAATTAGCTGTTCCCTCTCAGCCCCATCTATCTCACAGGGTTGTTGTAAAGTGAAATGGGGAAGCAAAGAACCAGATGTGCTGCTTATATCCTATAATCCTTAAAGGAATATTAAGGTATTACTCAGAATTCCACACTACAACAACCGAACATGCAAGCACAGAATTTTATTGTTGCAGAGTTCAACATGCTGAGGTAGACTATCAGCGTGAATTAAAATGGATTAAATTCCAATCGCATTGCCTCAAATCCAGTAGTAAGTCACAACTAGAGTAGGCCCATTGAATCAGCAGGATTTATATAGGTACTATATTGTGACTCACCAAGACCCTACTGACTCAGTGAGTCTACTTTAGTTGCAACTTACTACGAGATTTCTACCATTGAATCTATGTGACCTACTTATTTGTTGATGTACGTAATTCTCACTGATTCAGTGGGTTTACTTTAGATGTGACTGACAACTAGATTTAAACCTATGAAGGCAAATTTCATGTGATTGTACAGTAATTGCTTTTCTTCCTTAATTTGGTTGGTGTATAAAAGTTGCAGAATATGTTTCTCCTTGATGTAATGTCTGAGTCATTTTGGTGTAGAATATTATTTATTGTATTTATTTTCCTAACAAGGCAGCACCATGTTCTCAGAATCGTACAGAGTTAGATTGCCATTATTTTTATCAGACAGATTTGGAATTGCAGATGATAAAAAGAGGGAAACAGAGAACCCTGCAAATTTTTGACTGACTTGAACACCATTTGTTTGCCAAGTTCCATAGGGAAATCCTGATACATCAGAACACTTTTTTCTCTTCATCTTTCTGTCTCCTGCATACAATAGCTATTCTTCTACCAGTCAGTCAATACTCCTAACACCTTTATTTGCATTAATAAATGAAAGCTGCTGCCAGAAGATATGCCATGTAAAGCTGATGATGTCATCAGCTACAGTGATTTTTCCAGAAATGAAAATTTTCCAACTCTCTCCTTCAACGCATTCAAAGCTCCATCAGGATCTCTTTCATTGTGGGGAAGTCGCTGGGGACTGCCATCAGTAAAACCATTGCAGCAGTGATTTTTGGAAAAGACTCCCCCCTCCATCCTGTGGTCATAACAGCTACATCACAACAAAAGGGATCCTAAGGGAGCTTTGGGAACTTGAGTGGAGGGGTGGACTGGAATGTTTTTGTTTCAAAAAAAAGTTGCTAGAGCTGATGATCTCATCGTCCTTATGCGGCATAAGCTGCACAACAGGATTTTAGCCCATGAGCACTAAGATTTCGCAATGCCAGACACCTGCTGTGCTATACCATTCCTCCATTCTGACATCTTGATAAACCTGTGAAGAATAGCAGTGATACATACAGTCATGAGCTCTCTGGCACTTAAGCATATCACACCAAGTCCAGTATTCACCCACATTCTTGCTGGGTTCACACTGTTCAGGTCCTGGTATGCACGTGTCATTTTAAATTGCTAAATCATCACAAAATGCTTTGTCATTGCACACAGCTCTACAGTTGCTCTCAGAGCCAAGCTCCCTAAAAATGGCACCCATGCAGAGTTCAGTTGCTCAGCCATAAATTCACAAGCATGCAACAGGCAAGCATACAAATGTCATCTGCATATACTTTCTGAGTGCAGTCTCACAAACACTTTGTGTTGATGCCTGCAGCAAAAGAGTGCCATGCACATGTGTAGCCGTAAACTGTATTTTTGCACTCAACCTTCCTTTGCCTTAGCATATAGATGTCTCTATAATCTATACTCTAAAAGGAATACTCAAAGGAATGCTTGAACATACATGTGTGTGAATGTTCAAACAAATATAAATCTGCATGCTGCATCAGCTTTCTTTCAATAACAAGCAGCTCAAATCTAGTCATCATACTCCTCCTGCTGATAGATGCTATACAATATCTGCAGGTACATAAGTTCCATGTGTGACTGTGCACACTTATCACAGTCTGCAGTAGTACACATAATTCACACATCCACCAAGATCATCATGCAAATCTGCCTATCTGCATGGGGTTCTATATATATATATACACACATGAATTTAACATGACTTCTCTAAGCAACCACACTTCTTACACCTTAGGCACACATACAGTTTCATGTATGCATACAAACTTGGGCATGCTTCACGGAGTTATGCAAAAGCTATGCATATTTAGGCACAGATTTTATATACATGTTCTATCAAAGCAATAATACACCTCTGTGCAATGCATGTACCATACAGTCTTGCTAATGTGGATGTACATAATGCTCCATGACAAGGCATGTGTACACACACACACACACACACACACACACACACACACACACACACACACAGAGCATCCCTAGCTCCTTTTGCAGGACAACTTTGCTCCTTTCTTTTCTACTTGCTCAATCTCTGCACTGCACAGAATTCCCGTCCCGTCAGCACTTTCTGCACACAGTTTCCGCAAACCCTAGAATCTCTTTTGAAGCGCACTGCAGTGCCCAGGAAGCGAAGGGGAGGCAGAGGAGCAAAAGAAGGGGAAACCTAAGGGGCACAATAGAGCAAAGAAAGAGAGAGAGGAGTGGAAGGGAAGTCTTCTATGAATGCCCTTTTTCTTGTGGGTCCCGGTGGGCTGGAGGGAGGTATTTTGCTTTCCCAGACTTACCTAGAGACTATTCAGTGTTTGTGACCCACTTCCTGATCTTTAGTTGTCTCTCATATTATATTTCCCACTGATGAATATATTGGGAAGCAGGCAGGCAAAGTCTTTTCCTCTCTCCTCACCCCCACCATGGCCAAGATCATTTCACATTCATTTTCTCTCCCTCCCACCTTTACTGCCCCCAAATAATGAGCAAAAATCTATATGGGTCTTCCTCCTAGTACCACTGGGAGTCCCAAATCATTTTGGTAGAAATAATGAATTCTGCCCCCTGGGAAAGGCGGCTGTCATAAGAAATATTAGGGAAAGAATACATGGTGGACGAAAGAGAAAACGTATTTACTTATTTGATTTAGAAAGACTGTGGATTTTTGAGGTGGCAGTGGTGTGGAGAGAGGCTGGTGCAAGGTCAAACAGAAAATGAATGCAAAAGCCAGAAAGACGGCATCCTACCCATGTACTTCTCCCCACCTTTCGAACCTCTCTTTTTCCACAGAATCTTTAAGGCAACATATTGGAGCAGCAGATGGGAAATCCAACAGGGGTGAGAGTGAAAGGAAATGAAAGAGATGTGTTATGTTTATGCATGGTGGTGAACACAAGGTCAAAGAGAGAGAAAAAAAGGATATATTATTCCAGTCTCTAGAACTAGAGTTGGGTGCCACTGACTCCCTGAGATTACTTTGTCTCCTTCCTTTAGCTGTTCAAAGCTTCCAAAGCTGACAAACTGGACAGTTTATGAAGGTGAGAGAGGGATGGAATTCTAAACACAGATCCAGCAACAATGATAAAGTGTTATTTAGTTATTACACGGAGAATATTAGTGATCCACTTCTTGACACACCAGAGACAAAGTAGAAACTCCTTCAACAGCTGATACTATTTTTTGCATTCCTTACCAAATTATCTATTAATATAAAATCTAGAAAAGAGGAATTAAGCTCATGGGACTTAACCAACTGGCTATAGTGTCCCCCCCCCCCCCGGGAGATGCGTATAGATAAAAGAGTGAGATTTAGAGAGAAGATTGGAATTACTTAAATTGAAGGATGGGAGGGCAGACTTCAATTTTATACTACTCTGTTTCTGATGGCCAAATACACCAATTTAGTCTGAATGGAAAATATGGGGCCAGGTATGCACTAGTCAGTATCCACTTGTAGAGTTACACCAGTGAAGCAAGAACAACATCACCTGCAGGAGCAGATTGCCTCTAATTGAAGAGTTACTTTTTTGATTTTGAGGTGAATGCAACTCACATGCAATGAGATGAAGCTGCAAGCACCCACGCAAAAAAAGGAATTCCGATTACAAGCAACCTGTTGCTTACAGTGACTTCAGTCCTGCTCCACCCATAAAGCTCTGCAACTGGATACTGGCCACACTAAGGTTTAAAATACAGGGTGACTGACTGTATTTTCAACCCCGGAACATTTTTTTACCCCCAAACCTACCCTTGGTTTGCTCTTCTATACACCCACCAAGCATCCTTCATTTCAGCTGCCTAATTTGGAGAAGCTTTTTCATTTGCTATTATGGCAGAACAATTGGAGACTCAGAATTGACTATCCTTTCTGCC